CGCAAGATTCGCCGGAGAAAATGAAATTTGACCTGAAAAGATGATGTTCGCCTTGAGAAAGTAGATTGAATCGATTGACAGCAAGATGTGAGTGATACGACAAGAAAAGTTTTAGTCGTGGAAGAAAAGTATTTAAAGGGAAAGTGGTCCCATTTGCCGAGACGTCAGGAAGCTAAAGGGATTTGAATTTCAAAAAGGGCATTCATTCCGAGGCCGACCGCTCGATGCCCCACACAATCGTCTTGAGCCGTCGAATCATCATAGGCCGTCAGGTCATCATTGAGCTTTTAAATAATCACACCCTAATCAATGAGGGAGTGATTATGGGGGCAGTTGAGGACGCTAAAGACGGCTTGGGCCAGATCCAACTCACATAACGAAGTATGGGCCTGACAATTGACAAGGGCCCATACTTGACGTCCACAAAGCAGACCGGGTGTACTGGACTGATTAAAAAAGGGCTCCAGGAGGATTCAGGCCCATAACTACTAAACCTTGAGGATAGGCTCAGCAGCGGAAATTAGTGAAGAAGGCTCTAGAGTAATGTAAATGATCTATAAATAGAAAGGAGAAAGGAGAAAGGAGGGGGGAAAAAATTTTAATTCTGTCAACTTAGAGAGAGAAAATTTATGCATCTTCAATATGTATACATTGTTCACAAATATTATTTCTTCTTCCCTATCTTATTTTCAGCAACCCAAATCCCGCCATTTTTTTCTCTCCCAAAATATTGATTTTGATTTCTTTCCAAAATCCCGCCATTTCAGCAACCTAGATTTTGATTTCTTTTCAGAATATTGTTTGTTTGGAGTCTTTTGTTAATTTTCACAAAAAAATATCAATCAACCCAAATCCCGCTAGTTGATTAGATTTGCCCAAAGGTTTCAGAGAGAGAGAGAGAGAAAGAGATATTTTTTACTTATTATTTTTTTCTTCTTTCAAATCTCAATAATTCTCTTTGATTTGTTTCCAAAACGAATCACAAACAGATCACACATCTATTTCTTAATTCCTTTGTTTCCGTAAATTTCTCAGATCTATTTCTCTATTCATTTGTTTCCATAAATTTTTACTTCCCTTTTTTTGTATACTAGGTCATTTTATTCCAAATTAACATAGCAAAACATCTGGACTGGTATATTTTTTTTGTTTAATTATTTGTGTACTGCATAATATTCCAAACAATTTGTAATTTAAGTCAATATAAGTTGTACGCAACATCCCAACATAATCTAAATAGATTATTTTTACATAACATCCCAACAGTTTGTAATTTAAGTCCGTATAAGTTGTACGTAATATCTCAACATAATCCTGCTTAACATCCCAATCAATACGTACATAACATCCCAACAATTTATAATTTAAGTCACTATAAGTTGTACATAACATCCCAACATAATCCTATTTAACATCCCAAGCGATACGTATTTTGTATCCCCATTACTAACTATATTTCATGCTTTTTTATACGTAAAATTTCAACAAAATTCTACTAAAAATAGTGCAAACCAGTGATGTTTGTGCTCTTTAATCAGATAAGAAAAAACAAACCAAAAATTGAGATTTACATGAACAAAGCTTAGATCTATGGATGATACCCTAGAGTTTTTACACAATACTCCAGTAAAATTATATGGGTTTTTGGAGTGTGTTTGGGTTTTAAAGTGAAGCTTTGAAGTTCAAAAGTTACTTTAGTCCCTAGAGAGTCCATTAATGAAAGATGATGAAGCTTTTAAAGAGAAAAAGGAATAAGACGACATATTTTGGAAGAAGACATGCGTATTTTGGATACAATATTTAAATGTGTTTATATATATGGAATACAATTTATATATGAAGTACAAGGGTGGTGAAAATTTAGTTACCCAAGATTTTTAATTGATGTGGCCAATTCTCCTCCACTTATTTCAAAATGGTGGAAATGGCCTACTATTTCATTGGAGGTGATTTTCACCCAATTAGAAAGATGTTAGAAATTTTAGTTGTTTATGAAATCACTATTACACCCTTATCATGTTGTGATATTCCTAATACACCCCTAAACTCGTGTGTATTGGTAGTATATTAGAAAGCACAAATACAGATACAGAGTATAGATATAATACGATACGAATACAATGACAAATTTTAAAAAAATAAACTAAGCTAACATGAGAGTTTGTTTCACAACATATAAAATAAGCATCACTAGTTATCACGTAATAAATTTTGAACTTTTCTTAATAATTATATAATGTTATTATTGCTGAAAAAATTACATTTTGATGTTTAAAATTTATTGAACATATGTTATAAAGTATTTGAAAATTATTTGATACGCAATTGAAGTATCTTAGAAGTATCGGATACGGTTCATAAATTTAAAAATATATTTTAAAATTATGAATATGTTTAAGAAGTATTAAACACGTAACCGCACGTACCCAAATAATGAACTTTCAAAAAAAAAAATTACTAAAAAAATATTCATATTCGCATATTCGATACGGGTACGTTACTCTCGTAAAAATATCTAGTGTACTAGTGTTAGAATGACTTCTGATCAGGATTCGACCCAAAAACTATGCTTAACACAGTTTTTAATCTGATAGAGAAACTTTGTCTCACATTTGATTTGGATGGAGAAAATATTAGGTATTTAGTTGTAACAGGTAGGCGCTTGCTCATTTACCCAAAAATTTAAGTTATTGGGTAATATTGCATACTCATTCATTTACTCCTATTTCACTTCCTATTCGGATTCGATGTGGAACAAATACCTCGTGTAACATTCTCCCCCATTTAAACTCGTAATGCCCTCGTTGCTGTTGGGCAACCCTGCTTACCCAGACGGGCTCACTGAGCGCCTTTGGGGCGAGCGTTTGGTGTGACACCGAATCAATGATTGAGTTTGATTTTGATACTAATTGTAACGGGAGGCGCTTGCCCATTTATCCAAAAGTTAAAGTTATTGGATAGTGCTGCATATCTACTCATTTATATCCATTTCGCTTCCCATTCAGATCTAATGTGAGACAAGTACCCTTATAACACTAGTTTGCTACAGGTAGGGATGCAATTTGGATTTGGCAACCCAAATCCAACCTGAGCCCAACTTAATTTTTCGCGGTCTTAGACAATCATTTTTACAATTAAGTTTGGGTCTGGGTTAAAAAATATCAACCCGAAATTAATAAGGGTTGGGATTGGGTTGGGGTGCTAGCAACTCGAGTCAACCTGAATATGAATTCTAATATTATTTTAATATATATATACATATATATATATATATATATATATAATTTTAAATACATTATATATAATATTTAAATTATGATTATATTTTTTCTTAACTTATTGTATGTTAACTTTAGGTGAATTAATTTTCAAAGAATTTGTTTTTAAATTTTATTTTATTATCATTTTTATGAGAATAATTTAATTTAAAACTAATTCAAGATCATATTAAAATTTCGGTATGAAGATTAGTCATACGAGTAACCTAAATTTTTAACTCGGAATATAAGCTCGAATTGCAAGCCCGAATTTAAGGTTATGTTTGGTATAGTGGGAAAGAAAAGAAAGGATACTATTAGTTACGAGGGAAAGGAAAGGAAAAGAAAAGGAAGTGAATGATAATTTGAACCCATTATCTTGTTTGCTTAATTAATAAAGAAAAAGAAAGGAAATTATAATAATTATGTCTGGGAAAAGAAAAGAAAAGAAACTATTTTAATAAATTTACTATTATATCCTTTTATATTTTAAAAGATAAATTTATAGATTTAATTATGTAATATAAAAATAAATAATAATTTGATAAAAACATTATTATTCTTTTGAATTCATGTTACACCCTAAGTCACACAATCCTTTTCAACAGGTGTTGCTCTCAAGCTCCGAGCGCGCTCCCGCTCTTACACTCCGCGCGCGTTCTGTATTAAATTCCCACTATTTATTATTTAATTTTGCCGCTCTCGCTCTCGAATTTGTTCTTGCTCTCGCTTTCGCTTTATGTGACTAACTTATACCTTTAATTTATATATGCTGGATAGGTAAAAAAAATGTACTATAGATAAGCAAAACAAATGTTATTATTTAAATACAAATGAGTTAAATTAAAAATTACTAATAAAAGATGAAAAAAAAATTAGACTAAAAAATTGCATAATATTTATGCGACAAATGCATCAAAAATATGAAACAATTGTTTCAGTGATAAATTAAATAAACTTCTCGAAGTCACAAATAGAATACAAAAACAATTATTTATGGGGCCCACGGATGATGGGCCACGGGAAAAAAAAAAATATTTTTAGCGCAAATTATTTCAGCCTCCCCAATCGGCTCCTTCTATCTCAATTATCGTTCTCAACACTGAACTTGCCCCCCTCGCTCCCTCTGCAACTACAATCTACAAAATCTACAAGAATCAGAAGTTCAAAACCCATATATTTCAGTTTATTTATCTGTCTGCAAGAATCAAACATTCAAAACCTATTACCTATATCAAAACCCATATCAGCATATCATTTCAGATTGTTCAAAAAATCAAAAGCCATATCTTTCAGTTTCCATCGCCCGCTGTTCTAGTTCGGGTTCGCCGTTCGCAAGCTTCAGCCGCTGTCTCTCAACTCTCAAGCTTGCCCCCCTCTCTCTCTCTCTCTGCAACTGCTAACTTGTATGAATGGGTTTTGTTTTAAATTTTTTTCTAAATCAACTAATCAAGATTCAAGGTCTGTAATTCTTCTTTTGCAAACTAAAATCAAATGTAATCTTGATTTTGTGTAAGAGTAAATTTGGTATTAGAAATAATACATCAAGTATTTTCTTTTCTTTCCCTGTGATATCCCTTCTAAAATAATTCCTTTCTTATTTTTTTCAACTATTTATAATAAACACAATTTTTTAAAAATATGATTAAAATTGAATTTGAATTTAATATTTCATCTGGACTTAAGTTATACTTTAAACCCGTCAACTAACCTAAGTTGCAGCCCTAACTACGGCTATACTGTAACAGGTCAGTGGACAAACCCGACCCATTACAACTAGTACGTCCTCAAAATTCAGTACCCTTTTCACACTCGGCATCTTTGCCGTCTGTGACCTCTTCGCCGCCTCTCTGCTCATTATCTCCGGCGCCTTTCTCTCTCTGTTAGGTAAGCAATGTTTATCTCCCTCAATAACATATGTGTTTTCAAAGGGTAGGTTTATGCTTGAAATTTGGTTTTATTTTCTTGCGCATCTATCTAGGAATTTTATTTTTACGCTGTGTAGGATTTGCAATCTAGGTTTATCTTTCATTTTTGTTAATAAATGAATCTAGGATTTTTGTTTGTTATTTCTTCTTCTAAAGTGCTCCAGGAGCGTAATTACTTACCCAAAAACAATTTGCAACGCTTGGAATTTTCACTGTAGCTAGTGATGTGGGTGGTAATTAAGCTAGGTGCTTAAGACGCCCAATTGCGAATACTACAAGTCATGTCACAAATTCTTCAGGCATGAGGTGAAGTTAAAGCAAACTAGGTTAGGACAGACTGCACTAGGGTTCGATGTCATGAGGTCAACCTTGTTCAGGAAGGACACCAAAACCTACAGTGGACAGAAATCCGCCCAAACCAATCCCTATTCCAGAAATAGTAGAATGTTACAATCAGTTTGGTTTCGATTTTCAGTATATGGAAGAACGAATTAATCCAAACCAAACTATGATATACATTTATATAATTTTATTTAATTTGCTCGTGGTACTAGTTTCTGCACGCCCAATAATATTACAATTACCATTGGTAGTATTTTATATATAATGGTTAAATAAAAGCCACAAAGAGAATCTTCCCCTCCAATGAATTGAAATTCTTCCTCACCAATGAACATAAGCGCCTTCATGTTTGAGTTCGAGGCTTCGGGTCTGTACATTCTGCCACGGTTGGGGCGCCTCTGTCTGCCTGGTGGAATGGGATGTGGCCCCGGTCTAAGGAATTTATTTCACACAATAGATGGAAAACGAGAATCGCTTAGAGGTATGGGTGAAGTCCATGGAGGCATTTGTGGCTTCCATCAAGGAGGTATGAATATGAAGTTCTGAGAAGATAGGGCTATTACTGGCCGAAGAACTAGATATTTTGATATTCCAACTCCGGGCGATGGGATGTGTGAGTGGGCCACCTCTATGGCTTTCACAGGACTTTTTTATGAGATCAACTCTCTGCCTTTTCAGTTCTGGTTATCCAGTTACAGAAGTGACCCCATAGTAAAAAGTAAACACACATTGGTAGGGGAGAGTTCCGCCTAGAGGGAAGCACCAGCGCAAGTAGCGGTGATGAATTCATCATTGCGTTAAAACATATGATCCCCGAGACTACGAAATTGAGGCCTTAAAACCATATGATTTCCGGGACTAGGAATTATTTAAACACTACCTATCCTGGATAATAAGTGGCAAATCAGCTGTCCTTTCATTGTTAGGTAGGCGCTAAGATCCTTTTCCTGAATGATTATGGGAGTCAACCTATTAAGATAATAGGTCCAAGTGGCTCGCCTTTTTCTATATATGAGAATTGGTATAGTCTACCCGGCCTGGAGCGCTAGGGAGGGTCGACGCCTACAGCTTACCAGTTCAAATCAAAATCTCTTCATTTTGAAATTACATTGTCTAGACTAATAGCCATTTTCTTGCTTTTGTAGCAAGTTTTTTTGGCAAAGTCATTAGAGATTTGGGAGAGAAATCTTTGATTTTCTTCTCTATGATAAAATATAACATTCCTATTCCATTATGTACTGACTCAGCTTTAAAGTCAGAATGGATTGAGAAAGCTCCTCCCCTAAAAGCTTTCTACTAGGAGTCTTAGTCACCCACCCAAGCCATAAAGAAAGTAAACAAAGGTTTAGGTTTTCTCTCTGCAAGTTGCAATGAGAGAGACATGTATTATTTATTTATATACAAGCAGATATTCTGCAATTACAATGTACAACTCATAAGACAGAAATTAGGATAAATTAATGGAGAAAGATCAGGGGAAAAGTCATAGGACTGATAAATAAAAGCTCAATTACGATTTATTTATTAAGATCAGGGGAAAAGTCATAGGACTGATAAATAAAAGCTCAATTATGATTTATTTATTTATTTGGGTACTATGAATATTGGAGATTGATGAGTAGCATGGATTTTATATATAGATTCAAATAGAACGAATAATTATTTTTTCTGTTAGGCTCCATTTGGGTTGAATGGTCTGAAATGAATAGAGTTAGTTTCACATATTTAAGGAATATTCCTTGAATTTAGATTTAATAATTTGGACTCTAGTTTTTAACAATATGCATAGATTGACTTGAGTGGTCTATATATAGGAACTTGAAATGACAAAGGTTCAAGGATTATTTGAAATCTTTGTTAGTGTGCAAAGTTCCTTAATTTTAAATCCATTGATTTATTCAAATGCAGCATAATAGGATGTTAAATTGTTAATTTTTCTTTTTCTTTTTTGAATTAAGACAATTTCAGTTTAGGTATAACCAGTTTATAATGAATTTTTAGATAAGAATTGATAAACTTAAACTATGTTAATTCAGGGAAAAAAAAAAAAAAACCTAAACTATGTTAAAGGATTCTTATATGCTACGAATTGGTTCATTTAGTTTGATTTTACTTTTAGAAAACCATTTGATTGGTTTTGACTGTGATATAAACATTGTAATTGATTTTGATTATGAGATAATCATTATAATTTTTTTTTGATTCTTATTTGGAAATGGAAACCATTTCTAAATGAACCATTGGGTCCACGTAATATGTTGGACCAATTCCCTAATTGGTCAATGCACGCCACGCGAAGTATATGCACACATTTGTGTGTGTGTGAAATACGGTGACCTCCCATAAAGTTTGTCCTAATTGTAGTTGAAGAAAGTTTTGAAAGAATAAAACAATGACCGCCCCTCTAACGGTTAATGTGTTAAAGATGTCAAATCTTAGGTGATTTTACCCTTATATCTCAAATATTTTAACAATAAAAATGACAAGACATCTTATCTTTCGAAATGATTACTTTGACCACTTGTATAAAATAACACTTTTTCTTCCCCCTTATTTCTCTTCTTCCCTCTTTTCAATCTTCTCACCTCCACCGGTAGCACATCACCATGACCACCGTTACTAACCACACACCAATTACACCTGTAATCTGAGTCTCGTCAAGCTCCAATTTCAATCCATTACAATCATACATTGTCCTAACATTCCTAAACCCACCCAAACACATCAATCCTTTATCTCTAACACCAAATTCTTCTTCCACCCTGTTCAAGATTTTTGAAGAATCAATCGATAATACCCACTAAGGCACGGCGATGGGCTATTCGTCCTCCTTGATGCAGCTGATCCTTAGGGCTATGTTTGGTACGGTGGGAAAGAAAAGAAAGGATAACATTAGTTATGAAGGAAATGAAAGGGAATGGAACGGAAGGATAATTTTAACCCCCTATCGTGTTTGGTTGATTAATGAAGGAAAAGAAAGGAAAGGATAATTATCATGTTTGGAAAAAGAAAGGAAAGGAAACTGTTTTAATAAAGTTACTATTATACCCTTTTATATTTTAAAAGATAAATTTATAGATTTAACTATGTAATATAAAAATAAATAATAATTTGATAAAAACATTATTGTTCTTTTGAATTCATGTTATACCTTTAACTTATATGCTAAATAGGCAAAAGAAATGTTACTATTTTAATACAAATGAGTTAAATTAAAAGTTACCAATAAAAGATGAACAAAAAAGATGGACTAGAGCACTGCATAATATTTATGTGACAAATGCATAAAAAATACGAAACAATTATTTCAGTGATAAATTATATAAACTTCTCACAAGTAGAATGCAGAAACAATTATTTCAGCCTCCCCAATTGCCTCCATCTCAAAATTTATAGGCCCATGGATGATGTGCCACCAGATTTTTTTTTTTTTTTTAGGGCAAATCATTTCAGCCTCCCAATTGCCTCCATCTCTATTCTCGTTCTCAACTCTGGACTTGCCCTCTCTCTCTGCAACTGCAAACTACAAAATCTACAAGAATCAGAAGTTCAAAACCCGCCTCCATCTCTATTCTCGTTCTCAACTCTGAACTTACCCTCTCAAAACCTATTACCTATATCAAAACCCATATCCGCATATCATTTCAGATTGTTCAAAAAATCAAAACCCATATCTTTTTCAGTTTCCATCGCCCACTGTTCCAGTTCAGGTTCTCCGTTCGCAAGCTTCAGCCGCTGTCTCTCAACTCTCAAGCTTGCCCCCTCTCTCTCTCTGCAACTGCTAACTTGTATGTATGGGTTTTGTTTTAATTTTTTTTCTTTTCTAAATCAACTAATCAAGGTCTGTAATTCTTGTTTTGCAAACTAAAATCAAGTGTAATCTTGATTTTGTGTAAGGGTAAATTTGGCATCAGAAATAATACACCAAGCTTCTCCTTCTCTTTCCTTCCATTTCCTCCCATTTTTGGGAGGATAAGAAAGTTACTATTTAAGCCCTGTGATATCCTTCCAAAACCATCCCTTTCCTTTCCTTTCCTTTCCTCCCTTTTCCATTGCACCAAACTGACCCTAGGGGTTTGGCCTTGATGGAGAGGACGTAGAGCGGATCGAGTAATTTGCTTGATTATTTTTTTTGAGTTATTCGCTGAGAAAAATAAAATTTGAGGATGCAGTGGCGTCCTCCCTCATCTATCTTCTTCTTCTTTAACTTCAATTTCTCTCTCTCATCACTCTCTCTGTCATCAGGTAAGGTCTCTCACTCTCTCTTGTGGTTTTGATTTACAAATGGGGTAACTTTGTTGTTTCCATGTTGTTTTTAGAGTTTAGGTTTTAATTTTGACTGGCTAACACCAAATACTTGTACATGCATATTATATTACAAGAACGAGATAGTTGCTTGCATGACTTTGTGCTTGGGTTCTCTTCCCTCAGTTTTGGATCGTTGGGGAATGGTATTGTTTTGACTATTGATTTCATCACCAGAAAATTTGAGGTAGCTGCCTTGTGTTTTTTCTGTAAGGCTGATGACAAATCTTTTTTATCTTAATTTTATGCTAGGGCACTTTGTTAATTTTTTTTCATTGTTTAGGAAAAGAATACTTTTGTTCATATGTCTCTTTCTCATTTTCATTTTTTTATCTTCTTAGTATCAGGATGATTATATATATTTATTTTTGCAGATTTGAACTGAAAAAGAATAAAATTTTTGAGGGCTATCTCTTGTAATGGATTCACCTGAACGTGGTCGGATTTACATTTCACGGGAATTAGATGATAGTTCAGATATGAAGAGTGATAGGGTGAGAGATGATGGAGAATGGGATGGTGCTGATAAGAGGAAGCACAGGTCTAGCAAATCAAGAAAGACTGGGAACGGAGAAGAATCTGAAGGATTAGACAATAGTGGCAGAAGGAGAAGTGCTGGGGACAAAAATGAAAGCCGAAAGAGACCAAGTGGATCAAGCAGAGCAGGAAGCGATGAAGATGACTATGACACGGGAAAGGAGTCCCGTTCTAAACAATTAAAGAAGAAACAAGAGGAAAGTGCACTGGAGAAATTGAGCAATTGGTATCAGGATGGAGAATTAGATAATAAGCATGATGGTGGAGACAAGTCTGGGAATAGGGGACATGGTAGAGCAGATGAGAGTGAGAGAAGGAAATCAACTTCAAATGTTTCAGGTTATGAGAAATCACAGAGTAGAACTAAAGGGAAAGATGAAATATCACATGATGGAGATCTTGAGAAGCCACCAGACAGAGATTCCAGATATTCTGAAAGGAGGGAAAGTAGCCGAGAAAAGGGTCATGGATCTTCTGAGCAGGGTCGGAACCAAAGGAGAAAATGGGATGAATCAGAGGCCGTCAGGAAAGCTGAAGAAAGTAATTACGTGGAAAAATCTGATCTTAGAAGTGGGAAGTCTTCTGATCCTAAGCTTGAGAGTGCTAGAGAGAGAGGTCTGTCTCTGAGAACTGAACCTAGTGAGAGCAAAAGCAGGACTTTAGATTCAAACAATGACAAGGGTGCGAAATCTTATGACAGGGAAGATAGAAGAGTTGATGCTGAGAGGAGTAAGAGCAAGGGGAGGTCAGAAGCCCCAGAAGAAGACAATAAAGGAATTTCTTTGTCTCATGAAGACAGATCAGATAAGGAGGGAATCGAGAAGCATAAACAGCAGAGAAATCCCTCTGGTCCGGACATTGCTGAAAGTCGGGGGAGGTCTTTCAATACAGATGAGGATGGTCATATATGGACAAGAGACAAAAATAGAAGAGAAGTGGAGTACTCTAACAGAACCAAGACTCCTGAGAGGAGTGGGAGGCGTCATCATGAATCAGACAACTATGAGATGGATAAAGAAAGAAGCATTACTTTCAAGCAGAAAGAACTGGAAAAGGACGGTTACAGGGATGATAGATTAAAAGGACGAGATGATAGCTGGGTAGAGAGGGATAGGGACCGGGAAGGTTCCAAAGACACTTGGAGAAGAGGGCAACCAAGCAGTAGTGATAAGGACACAAGAGATGGGAACGTTGCTTACAATCATGCCAGAGACTGGGAGTTGCAGAGACATGGCCGTGAAAGGACTGACAATGAAAGGCCCCAGGGTCGTTCTGGTGGTCGGAAAGATGGAAGTAGGACTGAAGCTGTGAAAACCTCATCAAATTATGGAATTTCTAACGAGAACTATGATGTGATAGAGATCCAAACCAAGCCCTTTGATTATGAAAGAGAGGAATCTGGACCTGCTTTTGGCAGGAGAAATGAAGTTGGTCCGCAATATGATACAAAATTGGCACCAAATGATGATGAGTGGGCATGTATGAGAGGGGACAGAGCAAGGAGGACTGATATACATGGATTTGGGCCATCTGCTGATGATTCAAAGGATAGATTTATGGATTATGGTACCACTATGCGTGATCAAAATTCATGGAGGGTTGACATTGACACTCAGGCAGGGAAAGCAAGAGGCCCGAAAGGTGGTATGCCCAATCATAGTGCTAATAGCCAAAGTTCTGGCAGTGGTTCACAGCCTCCATATGGAAACCAGGAGCCAGGTTCCTTTAGTAGAACTGTTCCATTAGGAGTTAAAGGTAGTAGAGTTGGGAAAGGAGGAAGGGGTAAGCCTGCTGGGAGAGACAGCCAACAGGTTGGTATTGCGGTGCCCATGATGGGATCACCTTTTGGACCGCTTGGAATGCCACCTCCTGGACCAATGCAACCTCTGACTCCTAGCATGTCTCCTGCACTGGGTCCTCCAATGTCCCCTGGCGTATTTATTCCACCGTTTTCGCCACCTGTTGTTTGGCCTGGAGCTCGAGGCGTTGACATGAATATGTTAGCTGTTCCACCTAATCTCTCACCTGTTCCTCCTGGAGCATCAGGGCCAAGATTTCCTCCTAATTTAGGCAATCAGCCAAACCCTGGCTTGTATTTTAATCAAACAGGCTCTGGAAGAGGAGTTCCTCCGAACATATCTGGCCCTGGTTTCAATGCTATGGTTCCTATGGGACAAGGACAGCCACAAGAAAAAGGCCCTGCTGGTTGGGTTCCTCCAAGAACTAACAGACCTGCTGGTAAAGCTCCTTCCAGAGGAGAGCAGAATGATTACTCCCAAAATTTTGTTGACACTGGTATGCGGCCCCAGAATTTCATAAGGGAACTAGAGCTCACTAATGTTGTAGAAGACTACCCCAAGCTTCGGGAGCTCATACAAAAGAAGGATGAAATTGTGGCCAATTCTGCTTCTCCTCCTATGTATTACAAGTCTGACCTGAAAGAGCATGTGCTGTCTCCAGAGTTCTTCGGAACCAAGTTCGATGTCATTCTTGTAGACCCCCCTTGGGAGGAATATGTACATCGAGCTCCTGGTGTCACTGACCATATGGATTACTGGACATCTGAAGAAATAATGAATCTCAAGATTGAGGTAATAATGTTTGCTCATAGCTTTTTCTTGTGCATATCTGTGATATTTTGGTGGGTAAGTCACTCAGCTTTTATTACCAAAAATAAAGGCACACAATGAGGCTCAGTATATATACCCACAGGCTTAACGTACTACTTCTCTATTGCTGTCGATAGATGGAGTAGTGATATTTATAGTTGTATGGAATAATTATTCCATGTACTTGAAAACTGAAATGTAGATGATAGCATGTTTGTCATGTCCCTTATAATGAAAAGGGGAAAAAAAAAAGGGAAAGAAAAAGAAGATACTCAAGTTACCACCCGAGGGCATAAATGCATCTTGCACATGTTTAACATGGAGGACATTATTAATTCAAATATATTTTTTATTTGGACCTTATTATCGAAAAAAAAAAATAAAAAAAAAATGGTGCCCAAGCTATGGGACTTCCTAAAGAACTGCAATGACAGTTTTTCAACTACTCACAAGACCATCAAGAGACCCTTGGTCTGTCCGCCACCAGTGGAAGCAAGCTAGCCCCCTATGTTGGTTGCCCCCTACATGGGTGTGCTATAAAACTAGAAGAAGAACAGAACTAAATTGACCAATTCCTTTGACTGGTAGATTTTGACATATAATTCTTGTATTGACATTCTCTAATCCAGATTATGCATTTCACACATGATATCTAATGTTTACAGGCAATAGCGGACACACCCTCTTTCATTTTCCTTTGGGTTGGTGATGGTGTAGGTCTTGAGCAGGGCAGGCAATGTCTAAAGAAGGTATACAATTGAATCCTTATGAAAATGGTTGTTTGGTTATGAATTCCTTCCATTTTGGTTGCAGTAATTCATTTGTCAGTGGTTTTTAATATGTTTAATTTTAACTATGTTTTCTCTCATGTAGTGGGGTTTCCGTAGATGTGAAGATATATGTTGGGTGAAGACAAACAAAAGTAATGCTACTCCAGGATTGCGTCATGATTCTCATACTTTGTTTCAGCACTCAAAGGTTGGTTGTTGAGCACCTTCTCCCTTGTATATGTCTGCTGCTTTTTCAGTTTCTGATCTTACTATTTTTATTTAGCTGCTATGTGCATGCTTATTTGGTTTCCTCTACCTCTATTGTCTTTCATTGTGATGAAGGAACACTGCTTGATGGGCATAAAAGGAACTGTTCGTCGCAGTACTGATGGTCATATAATCCATGCAAACATTGACACTGACGTAATTATCGCTGAGGAGCCTCCTTATGGTCAGTTATCATTCATAAATTGGACTTCAATGACCCCGACTTTGAAGCTATTCATTTTATCATTTATGTTTTTGCGCTCTATCATTTACTGTGATCGTGATTTCATGTTTCATTTGTCTGGTCGAGTGTTATGAGTTGGTTCAATTGTATATGTTTTTGAGTTGGGGGCTGGTGCGATGATAAGAGCTTTGTCTGCCAACAACTGTAAGAATGCAAGTTCGGGTATGAAAGCAGCCCCTTTGTGTAAAATTATGTGTGACGGTGTTTGTTTCCAATCTAATCATCCCAGCAATCTGCATAGGTGGTACCAACACTGGATAGTGGCCTTGTTTGTTGATTAATGTTGTTTTTTTCATCCCCAATATATGTTGTTTCTGGACATAATGGTAACAAAATGAAAGCTGGAGTTTTCATTCACAACACCCTTGAGTATGAGGAACACAATGTCAAATTTCCTAGTTCTTGCAATTATTTTGAATGTTTATGTGACCCTTCTTTCCCATTAAAGTGTTTCAACTCATTTTGCTATGATATATTTGTATAGAACAATGCCATGACCAACTATTTGCCGCTTCCTCCTTTTAAAAAGAAAAATAATTAACAGGTTCTTAAAATACAGCCTTGAATTCTGAAACCCTTGCTTGCAGTTCTTCTATGTTGCATTATTGTATATGCAAGTCAGCACTTACACTGGAATCGTTCTGCTAATGCTATTGCAGGTTCAACAGCAAAGCCTGAAGACATGTACCGCATAATAGAGCATTTTTCCCTTGGCCGTAGAAGGCTTGAGCTCTTCGGTGAAGACCATAATATTCGGGCTGGCTGGCTGACTGTTGGTAAAGGACTATCCTCATCAAATTTTGATGCCGAGGTACGATATTTTTATCATGCTTACCATCTCAACAAGTATAACAAGAAGAAAAAGCATCAATCACTGTTGCTGAAACATCCTGCTCATCAGCTGATTTTCTCCCGAACTGGTCCAAATGAATAGTCAATTTGGCTTCATGTGTTCAGTGGAAATCATTATTTGAGGGGAAAATGGAAAACTATTATAATTGGCTTTAAATTTTAGCAATTGTGGAAGATACCGATGGAGGTAAACAAGATGGTATGATGTGGAAACAGCTTCTGCCCTTTTTTCTTGTGGGAAAAAATAAGGGAGAGATCATATCTTTCTCTGGATTAGATGAGAGCAGGAATAAAGTAGAGAATATCGTTTCCTGTAGGACAAATTTTAGCAGCTAGGACAAACATTGAGTTTGCCACTTAAAGGATGACTTACCAATGGGCATTAGGTACGATCTCTCCTCCCCAAAAGGGGAGGTTGAGTGTTCAAGCCCTGCTAGGGGCAATATTGTGGATGTGTGTATTTGCTTGAACTTTCGAGGCAAAAAAAAAAAGACACTCTTACAGCAAACAAGTAAACTGTACAAAGTCCATTTTTTTTTTCCTTTGAACTCATTTCTGTTAGCAGTAACAGTATACTGTCATAATTTTCAAAATGGTGTGCACATCATGAGACATTATTGGTATTGTCCTGTACAGATATAATTATACAGTATATTTGCTTACCCTCAATGTCTGACACTGAAATTGGGGCTTACTTCAGGGATATGTCAAGACTTTCGCTGACAAGGATGGGAAAGTTTGGCAGGGAGGGGGAGGACGAAATCCACCGCCAGAAGCACCTCATCTTGTTATTACGACCCATGATATCGAGTGTCTTCGGCCCAAGTCACCAATGAAGAATCAGCAGCAACTACAGCAGCAGCATTCGGCATCCATTTCTCTCACAACGGCCAACTCCACCAACAAAAGGCCTACTGGAAATTCACCACAGAATTATAATGCTCTAAGTCTGAACCAAGAAACGTCCAGCTCTAATCTTACAACTTCAGCTCCATGGGCTTCCCCCATGGAGGGCTTTAAAGGACGTGAAGGCAGCAACATGGCTTCAGATGATCGGCCTTTTGATGGATGGGTGTAATTGTTCTTGCCAGCAAGTAAACAGGGAATACTGAGATTATAAATCTCAGAGAGCAATTATTGTTTTTAGCAAAGAATACCCTGGAGAGAGAGAGAGAAAAAAAAAATGTTCTGTAGCAAAGCTCTCAAGCGTGAATGTGCTGGTTCTTTTTTTTTTTTCTTCCTCTATAATATAATTTAAAGGAAATGCCTTTACATCCAATGTGAGTATCTGTATCACTCTTCAATTATGGAGAGCTGCAACTGTTTCTAGTTTTAGTGATAAGTTGGGATTGCTAAGGATCGAAACTCATGATTTGAATCTTTATCATTCACAGTAAATTTTGTAATCTATGTTTGGTATAACGAAAAAAAGAAAAAAAAAATACTGAATTAGCTGGGATGGGTTTTTGGCCAAGCCCGCAAGTTAAAAACATTGGGAAAATCTTGATAAATGGGCATTTTAGACTTTAGAGGCATATTAATGTTGAGTTGAAAAGGTATTTTTGATTTTTACTCTAAAACGAACTTTTGAGAAATATTGTTCATATGTTTTCTCATCTTGCCCGTTGTGAATTGGTGCGAAATGATTAAAATGTCCCATCCCTATTTGTTTGTGTGCCTGATTCTCATAACAAATTACAGCAATGATGTACAACTTTTTTTTAGGTGTACTTGCAGAAAAAGTGTTGTCATATGTGAACTGTGGTACGTAAGTAACTGAACAAAAGTTATAAAGTTTTGCATTATGTACACAAAATCGCACATAGTACGTAACTGATGTACTGGAAAAAATATTATGCACAGCTAAAAACGACCGAAAGACAGAATGGGTATAGCAAATTTATGCACATTGATTTTTCTAAATTTATTTTAAAAAGCCCATTCTAGAGAGAGAAAAACTCTTTTTTTTTTTTTTTTTCCTTAAACATTTTAAAATTTTTATATGAATTTTTAAAATTGAACTTTTAGTTGCTACAAAATTATATTGGTTGCAAAAAGAATCATTTGTTTTCTCTTAACCCGTTTGGATGTGAATTAATGTGGGTTTCTGATCCATTTTAACCCGTCCATTTTGAAGGACCCAAACCAGTTCAATTACCAGGCCAGCGAGGCGACACGTCATATGGAAGGCTAACAAAATAAATATGGACAAATACAGGGGCAATTCACTAATTTCAATGTTTGTTTTACCCCATTTTACTCCATTTTACCAGCCTCATTTCACTGATCTCATCCACACCCGCCGCTTTATTTTTTACCCCTTTCCCCACGCTATGGAACTCTTCACCGGTGACCGGCGAGTACCAAACGAGGTCGGTTTCCCGGACAACCTAACGCCATTCCCTGAAACCTCCGACATACTTTACGGCGATCGGACGTGCGAGATTCATCCGCCGGAGATCGAACAACACCACTCGCAGCTGCCGCCTCAGAAGCTCCGTCCGATTAGATGCAACGGCCGGAACTTGCCCGAGTATTCAGATCCTACTGCTATGGGAGCCGGAGGCGTCGACGGAGCCCTAATGAACTACCACGGCGTGGCCTCGTCTGAGTTAGGGTTTCTGACTCAGCTGTCCGCACAGACGATGGATGTAGTCAGTGGAGGACCTAGGGAGAACAATAGTTCACAAGCAAACATTTTGTTGTTTAGAAATGGTGGCCCTGGTGTTGCCGGAGTCAACTCGCCGCCGGTGTATGTACCGCCGTTACAACAAATCAAGGCGGAGATGGAAGCTGATTGTGTGAAATTAATATCTCAGGGACGTCTTTTGGAGGCCGAATTAAGGTAATATTTATATATAATATACAGTTATACACACACTTCGTTGCTGTTCATTTGTTGATGATCTTTTGTATCTTCTATATTGAGGAAGTAATAGTATATGCTAAAAATAGTAGCCATGTGCTTTTTCATTTTCGCTTTCCTGTTCTTATTTTATTATTATTAATACCAAAAGGAAAAAATAAATGGAAAATAAGTACTGAGTTTGTTATGAGGTTGATAATTGTTGATTTTATTATTTAATTAGAATACATCCTTATAAATATTAACAATTTTTTCATAAATGTCATGTTTTAATTATTATCAAATAACATTCTTCATTAAATTCATCCCTTTTGTTGCCCATTGCATCAATATTTCGGCCCCACTTAATTAACTTAGAGAAAAGCAGAGTGTTTTCTATGTTTTTAGTATACATAATTATTCTTAAAGGGATATATAAGCTCTCTTGTTTTTGCTTACATTTTGTAAAGAAGTTTTTTTGTTATCTCGAATACGGAGAATTATAATACTTGATTCTGTTAGCTAATAATTTTTGTAGCCTACCACAGTAAATTATTAAACAGTGCACTGGAATCTATATTGATCTAACTATGTCAGAATGTTAGCAAGTGGATAATCACCATCTGGTTGGTCTTGGAAAAGGTAAGATCAAGAAAAAATGAGACTGCTACATGTTTAATTCAGCACAATTTTTGCAAGGACAAATCAATTTTTTAAAACAGTTAATTGATGGCTGCTGTTGTGATTGATAACGGGATAGCAGGTCAAGGTGATGATGTTACGCATGCGGAGAGAATTTAATTAATATGCTTTCTATGTCTGGCATGGTGATTATCTAATAATCAGGCTGGTTCTTTTGTTAGTATGTTTGCTCGGTCTTTTTGTTAGCTTGAGCCAGTCAAAAATATTGTTGTTATGATTTTGAGAGATAGAGATTTAGGAAGATGATAAGGATGTGCTCTTTGAAAGTGAATTTATGAGCAAGGCCCGTACCAAAGTGGTGGCATTACGTTGCTAAGGATTATATTTCTGTTGCTATTTGTTTTGTATAGACGAGCAAAGGCATAGGAAGGTTGCTAGTAGCTGCAGATGAGGGGTGTGATTGTGGTTCCCTATGTTTATATCATGATAACTTTGGGGCAGTAACAGGAGTGCAAGGATGTTGTTGGTAGCAACAGGTGAATTGATCCTTTTGAGGTCGGTCCTTTTGCCTAGTGATGTTTTGGTGAGGTGGCAGTTTTTGGGTGGCGTCAGGTAAGAGTTGACTAATGGAGGATGGAGGCATTGTGGCAGGGTTAATGGTGGTTAGAATCTGTGGAAGTTATAATCAAAATTTAGAAAGTACATTTCTTACTCTTGAGAGTCTAAAAATAGTTAAATCAGAACAATTTTCTGAAAGCAAAAAAAGAATTTGTTTAATTTTTCCAAGAGATGCCTTTTTTTTTTGGAAAGTTATTCCGATTTTTTTGAGGTTAAAATTATGTCTATTGATTGTCAGTTAAGAAGAGAAAGGATGACACTGTAGCTGTGGTGTTTTGCTTCATTCCTATTTGGACGGAAGCTTACCTTATTATTAGAGCGAGGTGGAAGCCCTGGGATTTGAAATATATAATTTAATAAATTCACAGAAAATAGGCAAAGGGATGCAGCGGTCAAGAAGTGGTAGAATACATGGATTCATAAATAAACTAGAGGGTTGGAAAGTTCTAGCAGTTTCGAGTCATTAGTTCCAGTTAGACATCAAATATGACTGTTAATACCAACTAAACTTATTATCTTCTGGTTTCAGCTCGTCTTCAGATGATGGTGGGGAATCATCAGAAGCTACAACAGAACCTCTGAATCGAAAGAGGAAGAGAAAAGGAAGGAAAAAGCTTGAGTTGTTTCTAGAAAACATAACGGAGAAAGTGATCCAAAGGCAGGAGCAGATGCATAAACAGTTGATAGAGTTGATAGAAAAGAAGGAAAGCGAGAGAATCATCAGAGAAGAAGCATGGAAGCAGCGGGAGATCGAGAGAGCAAAGAGAGAAGAGGAGGTAAGGGCGCAAGAGACGTCTCGTAACCTAGCCCTCATTTCCTTCATTCAGAATCTACTAGGCCATGAACTGACGATCCCCAAACAATTAGAAGCTTCAACCCTGGATAAGGATGATGGTGAAATTCACAGTAAACAAGATTTCAGGTGCGATCCAAGTTATAGGAGATGGCCTAAATCTGAAGTACAAGCCCTCATAACAGTTCGAACTGCTTTGGAGCATAAGTTCCTCAAGGCTCCGAAAGGCTCTGTATGGGAAGATGTAGCTGTTGAATTGTGTAAAATGGGCTATAGCCGAACTGCAAAGAAGTGTAAAGAGAAATGGGAGAACATCAACAAGTACTATAGGAAGACAATGGAGAGTGGAAAGAAGCGTCTTGACTATGGTAAAACATGCCCTTATTTTAATGAACTGGATGTCCTATATAAAAGTGGTCTCATTAATCCAGGAAATGCGTCTAGCTACATAAGCAACGAGACTGAGATTGAAGACAAGAACGTGAAAGAAGTGGAGCTTAGTATGATCGGCACCTGACATCTATATATATGTCCTGTACTTTGATGTCCATCTTTTTAGTTTTCTTATGATACTTTTAATACTTTTTGGAACTTGCTGTTTTACTCCCTAATTGACTGTATGAGAAAGTTCATTGCAGTTGACCGAAAAAGAGATGCAGTAGGTGTTCCCTCTGTTTCATTCTTCAAGGAATGTGCCAATTTTTTTAAAAAAACCCTAAATATCCCAAGGTATGTATGTATATTCTTATTCATTACTCTGACAGATATGGGTGTTACATCAAGGTATGTATGAACCACTTGAACTGTCTATAGATGTCTTAATAGACACCAGCACTCCTGTATCGCCATCCTCATCACTCTCTCTCTCTCTCTCTAGGATGAACAATGATAATAGAGATTGTGCTGTGTTGTTCATGACTCTACTCATAGCATCAGCCATACTGATATTTCCGTACTGCAGCCTGTTTGTGTGGTGACAAGTGATGTGCAACACCAAGTCAGGCAATACATGGAAATGCTTGCTGTTATGTTCTGGTTATTGCTCTTTTTCTACTGAATAAATCCACACACTTATTTTTACTTTTATGGGAACTTGAATTTCTGACATTGTTTTTACTTTGACAATAAATTCACACGCTTTAATCTTGATGGAACTTTAACTATTGATCCTTTACTTTGAAAGTTGAAAAAATATGAGCAGTCACCATAATTTGAAATTGAAGAAAAATTGCACCTCTTTGTCATAGTAGTAGTTCTTAAACCAAAAATGGGAGGCTTGGGCTGGTATAATTTGATGTCAGGCCCAGCCTGATAACTACGATCAATCTAATAAAATTGGGCTCATCACTTAACAAAAAAATTACTCAGAACTGGTCTTAGCAAACTTATATGTCATATTTTTATTGGCTAGACACAAGAATGACGTGGTATACACAGTTTACGCCTACGGTTTACCCAATACTCGTGGCATCGTCCTGGACGTGTTGTAAACAAAACACTCCAACAAACTGACCCACAAGGTCTAACAAATGGAACTGTCGAGTCAGGTGATTTATGTCAGACTTTTTAGGTCATATGACAGAGACAATTACAGATCCGAACAAGTGATAATCTCGTTAATCTCTTAGCGCATAAGATACAAGAATCTTTATAACATGTTTCTAAGATATCGTGCGCTCGTGGATCGTGGTACTGTGCACTGTGTATTGGGCTCATTTTAAAGATTCCAGTATGCATCGACGCATGCATAATGTTTACAACTCGAATTGTGCGGGATGTTCAATATCTATCTGGAGTAATGCTATAAAAATATATATATTTAGTACAGTTTGAATACAAAAATCTTTATAATCACTTCAACTTTAACCAAAGAGAATTGATGCACGGTAATTTCAAAAGCACCATATTGCTTGTGTTATGTTTTCTTTAGAAAACTAATTAATATTTCAGAAACATGAGTTCCCTAATAAACGAGTCAAAATTTTTAAATTCATTTTCAACTCGATTTTTTATTTAATAAAAATGTTGGTGATATCATGTAGTTATAAATGTCATTTTCCTATTTATTTTGTTTCATCTCAACTAGTATGGTAGGAAACTCCCCTGATTCAAATATATATATATATATATATTTTTGGCGAGCAATTACAAGTATGGACGTTTGTAAATTCTCTAATTCTTTGTTTGGTTGGAGGGATAAAAAAATAGATGGAAGAGATAAGGAGGAGAGATAGATGAGATATCCCTAGAGAAGGGAGGGTGTTTTTCCCATTTTATGTTTGGTTGAATGGAATGGATAGTAGAAATGATGAATGGAGTGATACTTTTTTTTTGTTTAGTTGGAAAGAAAGGAAGAAGAGTTCTTATACTGCGCATTATATTATTTTTACCAATATACCCTTTTATATAAAATTATAAAAGGTAAATATTTATTTCAAAATTTTTGAAAATGTTAAAATTGTAAATTATAATTTAATAATTTTGTGAAAATTGTAATTATAGGTAGTTATAATTACAAATTTACAAATTTATAGGTAGTTATACCTTCTTCCTCTCCTCTCTTCCCCCAAAAGTGGGCAGATAGACAAACATAAAGGAAGGAGGAATGAAGTATCCCTCCTTGTTTCATCCCTCTCTTCCCTTCCTTCCAACCAAACACGAAAATATTTATCCATCCCTCCCCTCAACCATCTCCCTCAATCCGTTCCTCCAACCAAACATAGCATAAGGGTCCATTTGGATTGAGAGATTTGGAGGGAAAGGACACTGTAGATTTTTCTAATTAAAAGGAAAAAATTATTATTTCACTCATATTCCATTTATTTAAAAGAGAATGATAGTAATTTAGTTGTTATCGTTTCTTTTATTTTCCCATCTATCATTTCTTTTCTCTCATATATATATATATATATCCAAATATGAATAGAGATTATTGTTATCATTTTTTCTTTTCTTTTATTTCATAATTAATACTATCTTCTCCTTTCTTTTCTCTTCTAGTATCCAAACGAAGCCTAAGGGTGCGTTTAGATACATAGGAGAGAAAAGAAAATAAATGATAGTATTAGTTAAGAAAAAAAAGAAAAAAAAAGGATAATAATAATTTATATTCATGTTTGGATAGACAGAGAAGAAAAAAAATAAAAATAAATGATAGTCATTTTTGTTTACATAAGATAGATGAGAGAAAAGAAAAGAAAGTATAATAATCAAATTACTATTCTACTCTTTTATATTTGTAAGTGGGTAATTGGGACTTGAATGAAATAACAAATCTGTATATTTATTTATAAAGGCTAGTTTTGATATTATCAAAATACTACTCCCTATTTTGAGAAGATAGCAAATGAGGCCCTATCCTCTCTTTTATCTCCATTTAACTCACCCAGTTAAACCCTTTCATTTCATTTCTTCTTTCTTCCAATCCCTCCAAATCTTTCAATCCAAACACACCTTAAAAGTCGATCCAACCACATAACCCACCTGTGCGCTCCATAGAAAAGAAAAGCCTGCCCTACATTGGAACTGTATACACACACAACTTCAATTTAAATTGAAAGCATAAAATTACAAAAAGGCCACCAACCCACCCATCTAGACCTAGTCACCCAGAGGCCAATTAAACTTGCCGGTCAATTTCAATAATATTGGCAAGTGCTTCCCAACTGTTAAAGGCAATAGCAAAATGTAACGGCCAATACCTTGCCCCTCGTTCACTACGCCTTTTGCCACGTGGCATACCTACCCTTTTATCACTATAATAAAGTAGTAGCTACTATATTTCACATATGCCTCTCTCTCTCTCTAATTGCTATCTATCTTCAATCTACTTTCATTTCAGACCAAACGGATCAGAGAGAGATATGGAACGTCAAGGCAGTGGAAGCGTCCATGGCTACCGCAGGCTCCCTAGAACTAGCTCTGGTAAAGTACTAAATATGGACATTTCTTACATATACATATATATACGTGTATATATATAATACATATGTTGCTTTTCCAATATATGTATATATACATACATGTTCTTTAATTTCTTAGGAAACTCTTTGGTTTTCTATGGTAAATACTTTCATCACCTTTGATTTCATGCATATAGGAAAGGGAACATTTTTTATACCTTTTTTTGAACTGCATGCAAATGTACCTTCAGTTTTATCTCTCCCTCCTCTTGACCGCAGCCCATTTTGAGTTTTTATAGTCCATCTCTTCTATATTCTAAAAGCTAGGGTTTCAATTTAATCAATTTATTTTTTTGGTAATTAAAACTAAATGCATGCAACGGATCTGCTTAATTGATTAATGAAAGTGAAATTTGTTCATGAATGCTCTAACTTTTGGTTCTTTGTTCGGTTGATCTCTGTGAGAAGAACTATTGTCGTGACATTACCATTTCGTTTGTTCTCTCTGTATAAAGTTATATATATCTGAAACTGTGTGTAGGTGTGTTTTATTGTAATATTGAGTTAAGATGGTGTACATTTGACCATTTGACCCTTCTCAAAATATGCCACTATTTGATTCTTCCTAGATTATGTAGTGATAGAAATCTCGTGCAGTGTAATCTTTTTGTTTTGTTATTCATGCCTGGAACTAAAATTAGGAGCCATCTACATTAACATGCACACATGGCTAATATATTGTTCATTGCTTTCTCACTTAAACTTTTAATTAATGTAAAAGTTTATTTTCTTTCATTCTTTTTGTATTTTGTTGTTGTTTCAATTGGCTGAACATTTTTTATTATATATATATATATAATAAAGCTGATCATAAAATTGTTACACGCATTATGGAAACAAGTGGCAAGCATGCATGCAGTGGCTGCTTACCCACAGTACACTAGGCATATAATGAACTCTCCTCAATGTGAAATTTAAAAGCATTCCAGCATTAATTTCATCTTTGTTTTCTACTGTAAAAATGTTTTAAGTGATCAGTAGATCATGACAAAATGTGATCAAAGAAAAACTACAAAAACCAAACCGTCTCTCTTTGTTTTGTCTCTTTTTCCAGGTCCTTCCATCAGATCAAACATTTTCAAGGTTTTTGTCAGTACGCATGTTATCTTTTCATCTTCTATATATGCGGCGAAAAGACAATACAAATGGCCTCTCTCTCTCTTGTAGTTGAGGATAATAAAACATGCAAGTAAAGGGATTAAAATGTATAACATTCAGCGCCTAACAGTAAGTTATATTGTTGATTCTGAATAGTCCACTTGCACCTCTTATGTCTAGGTGTCAAACAAACATGACATGTTTTTTATTTATTTATATTATTGTTCTAGAAATATCAATAATTTAATTATCGAAAAAAAAAGTCAATAACAACTATGTTCGTTTTGATCACGACAAAGTTTTACGCTGCTAAGAGTAACGCTTTTCCTGTATCAAGATCCCAGGTAAATAAACACAAGCGGAGTTTGAAATATCAATAAATTGAAGCTAAAAAAAGTAAAGGTAGATGGTTGGTTTATGTCATGGAGGTTTGAGTTAGATTTAGGGTTTCATATCTTGGTTTGAGCTAGACTGACCCCTCCATCCACTCAATCCGTTGGAGTTGCCTTGGCTATCTTTTAATCTTTCCCAAGAAATTAGGGTTTGACTCATTTCTTAAATGAGTTTTAAAGGTCTCTCAAAATTTCATGACATTTCTAAAAGTTTGTTTTATTGGACTTTGTTGACATGTGACTTCCAAGATCAAATTACATCTTTTCATATTCAGTTTTTGTGTTGCATGTGAATTGAGTTATATAGCAATATTTTTATATTAACCCTTTGTTTAAATTTTACTGTGACGAAACTGACAGAGATCAACACGAGGCTGCCTGAGATGAACCACACCACCACCAACAACCACTCAGCCGCCACCGATGACAACGAATGCATCGTCCGCGAGCAAGACCGCTTCATGCCGATTGCCAACGTGATTCGTATCATGCGCAGAATCCTCCCACCACATGCCAAGATCTCGGACGACGCCAAGGAAACAATCCAAGAATGTGTGTCTGAGTTCATCAGCTTCATCACTGGCGAAGCCAACGAGCGGTGCCAGCGTGAGCAGCGCAAGACCATCACGGCGGAGGACGTGCTCTGGTCCATGAGCAAGCTGGGGTTTGATGACTACATTGAGCCACTCACCATGTACCTGCACCGCTACCGCGAGTACGAGGGCGACCGTGGCTCGATAAGGGGGGAGCCGTTGGTGAAGAGGCCGGTTGATTTTGGAGCTTTGGGTATGGCTGCATTTGCACCAGCATTTCACATGGGTCATCATCCCGGGTTCTATGGGCCAGCGGCGGCAATGGTTGGTTTCTTGAAGGATGCACCCGGTGGTGGTCCGTCCCAGGCTGCGGTGGCTGACGGGCATGAATCACATGGGCAGTGCAACAAGTGATACATAATACATATATATATGTATGTTATGGATCGAGGTCTTGTAATGTGGCATGAAAGAACATATGCAACAAAGCTAGCTTAGCTAGTGTTGGCTTGTAAGTTGTAATGGCAGGTGTTTTAAAAGTAGTAAGTACTCGTTTTTCTTAGAGTATGGTTCTTCAAACAAACAGTTGGATACAAAAAAATGAAGTAAATTAAAAGAAATAGGGTAAGTAGCTCCCAGCGAGGATCGAACTCGCGACCTTTCGCTTACGAAGCGAACGCACTACCACTATGCTATGGAAGCGGTTTTGACGCAGAGAATATTAACAAGTGATATAACTGTAGGAGGAGATGCTAATCAGCACCATTAATACTGCAATTTCTGAATTAGAGGAATAAACTGCGAGTGTGTTTTGAAAAATCGAATATGTTTCTGAAGAGAAACAAGTGGGAAGGAAGAGAAGTTCAATTTCTTGGCCATGGTACGTAAATAACAAGGTCCATGGGCCACATCTACAACTATAATTAACTTAAGAAAAATGATATTTAAGCCCAAAAACTCACCGAGTACTTGGGCCGAAAATTGCAAATGAAAGCCTTTATGTGAGTTTTGTGCCCTTGTGTATCATATTCCTTAATTTCACTTCATTTGTAAATCATGAATTGCCTAATGAAATGTTTTTAATTGATAATTTATGCAAAATAAGTGGAGGCCCCGGCCATTTTCTTATTTATTGTACGAATGACCAATTAAAAATAGTAAGTCTGATAAAACAGTGTAAAAATCATTTTTCTTTAATTTATGTTGACCATTTTTCATTCATGTGACTACAATCAAGCTACAAGATGGATGCATGCAGAATTTATGACAAGCTTTGGGATGAAGAAATTAAGCCCTTTATTTAGCAGCTGCTATAATAATCCAACATAGCTAAGAATAAAATCATGAAAATGTGGAGATTAACATGACTGATAAAACTATTCTATACTAACTATGAGTGCAAATTAGAAAATTGAACAGATGATTCTATTTTTAGAAAAAAATATAACTCAACATTTTTTTAATATAAAAAAAGGAATTTGTATATATTAAACATTCAACCAAATAAAATCAACTATTTTATTTTAATAAAAAGTAAGAACCAACAAAACCAAACTACTCCATAAATATTTAATATCTTTAGATTAATAAATTTATATTCCAAGAAACATGCAGGTGATTAAACAACAAATAAAATCAATTAGAAAAACAGATTTTCTTAATACAAATATTAATGGAAACGTATGTAATAATAAAATTAAATTTTGAACAAATTACATTCTGCAGGATGATTTTTTTTTTTTTTTTTTGGGTGAAATGTGGAGATTAACATGACTGATAAAACTATTCTATACTAACTATGAGTGTAAATTATAAAATTGACACAGATGATTCTTTTTTTTGAAAAAAATATAACTCAAGATTTTTATTTTTTTTAATATAAAAAAAGGAATTTGTATAAATTAAACATTCAACCAAATAAAATCAACTATTTTTAATTTTGTATTAATAAAAAGTAAGAACTTACAAAACCAAACTACTCCATAAATATTGAATATCTTTAGATTAATAAATTTATATTCCAAGAAACATGTCGGTGATTAAACAACAAATAATATCAATTAGAAAAACAGATTTTCTTAATACAAATATTAGAAAAAACAGATTTTCTTAATACAAATATTAATGGAAACGTATGTATTAATAAAATTAAAGTTTGAACAAATTACATTCCGTGGGATAATCATAGAATCGACAATATTGGTGTGTTGATAAACTATTTTTAGGGTACTTGAAGATGGATTAAGACTGGAAGATTAGAACATGTAGCGAAGGCTGGAAGCTCAAGTTTGAACATGAGGCAGAGGATAGAGAAAATAATGATGACAAGAACAAAGGGAGGGACAGATGAATTTATAGAAGTGGAGACTTATTAATTTCCTACAGCATCTCAACGGTCTAACAAAACCAATTTTTTCATTCTTGAAAAAGACTAAATACTATTACCAAAATTCACTATCTCCTTTCAAAACAATTTTTTCCATTCTTTAAAAAAAAAAACTAACAAAATACCCTTTCATCTAAAGCATATGCCTGCTTATCTATTTATTTTCATATTTCATGTACCCTTTCATCTAAAGCATATGCCTGCTTATCTATTTATTTTCATATTTCATGTAGTTAGCATGTCATGTTTGGCATGAAATGTTTACAACAATACATGTACATACAAATTTTTAAACAGAACATTGAAAATAGAGTACATGATAAGAATTCACAAACATTATGATATGTACAATGACACACACCAAAAAAACTTTAGTATTGTTTTATTATAAATTTAATAACAAAGAAATTATATTTTGTTTTAGAAGGTTAAGCGAACTCCCTTCAGACCACCCCTTTAGAGGGGGTAGATTTTTAGCAAATGGGCTATTGCCCGCTTTTTTATTTTTATTTTATTATTATTATTATTTTTAACTTGGTAAACAACAATAACATCAACTAGCAATACAAACAGCGCTTAGCTGCCAAATCAAGAATATCCCTAGGAATATGAACAAGAGCCATATCCTTAGGTATGTGACCTCGGAAAAGCTTCGCAATAGTGTGAGTGACTTCATTGCCAATTCTATGGACATGGCTAAGGCGAGAGAATGAAAATCTCCAAAGTGCCACTTGAGCATCAAAGTAGAATGAATTTCTGTTGGCCCAGGAGCAACACCCAACATAGCGTGAACCACAATCTGAGAATCACATTCAAATCAGACTTGAGCAATTGAACATGAAACAGCCAAAGGATAGCTTTGCGAAAACAAATAGCCTCAGCGAAGGTTGCACTAGCAGCAGGAAAAGGGGAAACACTACTGCCTGCAGAATAGTGCCCAAAGAATCACGAAAAATAGCACCACCACCTCTGGGAAGAAGCTAAAAAAGATGCATCCACATTACATTTAACTACATCATCTCCTGGAGGCACCCATCGCGAAAGAGAAGGAGATGAAGAAGGATGCAAAGAAGAACTAAGAGTAGATGACCCGGGAGACAAACTAAAAATAGAAGATGAGAATGCTTAGCTACTCACCAGTATATATACATTTCATTTCGATTTTAGTGTAAAATGGAAATTAGATAAATAGTTTCTTTAGTTTTATCAAAAGTTTAACTCTTCACGACTGTGAAGCAGACACTTGTACAAAAGAGCCACACCGGTGTCGTGTCCGTGTCGGATTCAGACACTCCTTGGATACATGTACGAACACTTTGTCTTCTTGAACACTTAGGCTGATACTTTCAAACATTTCTAATATAAACTTACCGGATAATCTTGAAAATAATATGAATTCTAAAGTGTTCAACTTTTTATCTAAAAAAATTTGACATTATACACATCATAATCGAATCATTAAATAATATTTGTTCTTTTAAAATAAAAATACTATTATAATAAAGTAGTGAAATAATTGTATATATAATATAAAAATCATAATAAATTATACTATAAAAATTAGAATGAATTAAAGTTTTATAATACTATTACTCAATACATGTATATAAATAAAAATTCATATTTATATATAATAGTGTCTAAGTCGTACATGTGCCCTAATTTTTTAAAATTTGACGTGTCAACATATCTACGTAGCTTCACAATATATACACTATATACATGTTAAGTTCTTAATTATGGCATTTTGGGACTTTTGATGGATGGAGGGGGTATAGCCAATGTACACAGTTTTCGTAGTCAATGTGGAAGCTCATTCTTCTCATCCTCCACAGGGAACGCAAGATGAAGATATGATTTAAAAAAGCCTTTTTTTTTTTATTTTTATTTTTTATAATGCATTGACTTTTTATAGTGTTAAAGAAAGTCAGAGTAATAAATCTCAAACATTCTATTCATGTGATATTTACCCAAACCTCAGAAAAGATAAGTGTAATTTACCCATAAATAAACCCTAACCCAGGGAAGGAGCCCATTAATTTATACATATATAAATATATTTATAGAATTTTACATGACATCTCCTTAAAATTATTATTATTATTATTATTAAAAAGTTTTTCTAATTTGTTTTTCCTTCTTACACGTAAAACCAGTGTTCTATGTGTTTGGATCCGGTGCAATAGTGTTTGTATTGCATCAAAAGGGCTCACAGAACCACATGTGTGCACGATAATGTCTCTTCTAAAATTATTATTGTTATCTATTTTTTTTTATTTCTTTTTCCTTCTTAGTCTTCTTCCTAAGCTTGCTATCCTAAGGCCCAAGAGCCAGTTTTGGGGTTTTCTAAGATGTCTTCAAACCAAGCCCCGCCCATCTCGTTCAACAATGAAAGCCCAACTGGCTCGGTCCGGCCCGCCCGTTATCCACCACCATGTTAAATAATGAAAATGATTGATTATATTATGAAGCCAGTACAAGAGGAAAGAAATTGTCTCCTTTCCCCTCTCAGTGGAAATTGTCCGGTGAGGGTAAAATTGCTGAGGTGGTAGTTGAGGTAAAATAGTATTTATCATTTTTAGTGTATATATATTTATTTTGAACAGCTTCTTTATACAGAGTATGTATATATTATATATAATTATTTTATTCATTAGTCGGTGCCAGCTGTTCTCAAATTTTCACTTGCCAATTGAAACTCCCACTTCCTATTTGAAACTCCCAAACTCCCTCGAAACATTTTCTTCCAAATTCTCTTCCGGACAGAAGAGAAAAAGCTCTCTCTCCTCTTAACCATGGAATTTGATTTAGGGTTTTGTATTACACACAAATAAGAATAGCCAAGACAAGCATCTTCTTCAAGACATCTTATTCTTCTTTTTAGTTGGGTGAAAGATTGGGTTTTTTAGGGTTTTGATTTGATTTTTTTCAGGGGCTCTGGAGAAGACAGACAGTTGGGAATCGGCAACAACGAAGAGAAAGAATAGGTTTGCACAATGAAATCTCTTGAGTCCCAAAATGTCCGTTGTGTAGTTGCCGGAAGTCGCAATTCACTCACCGTTTGTAAAGATTGCAAGGTCCCCTTTTTACCCTTCATATCTATCACTCACACACACACACACACATACACACATACACACGTATATATATATATATCTAAATAAATATCAGTTAATTTTCTTTTTTATTTCTTCTTGCAATCTTTTTAAAACCCTTTATTACTGTTAGGTTGATTTGTAACTTTTATATTATTTTTTTTAGATAGAATTGTTTGTTGTTAGTTAGATGATTTTTATTTTTATTTTTATTATTTTTATTTTTTTCAATTGGGTGTGTATCAGTTTTTTACTTTGGGTTGGAACCAAAGAGGAACTTTAGGACATCCCTGAGACTAAAATAGAGAATAAAGAAAGAACCCATGTACAAATTGTGTAGGTAATTTCAATATATCAGTTTGAATTGGAACATAGAATAAGTGTTACTGTTGCGAGTGGAATTTACTGGTGGGTTCTTGATTGCAGGCAACTATTGGTGGGTGACATTGTTTGGCTGTTGATGATCAAGGACGACTTTACGCTTGGGGTATTGTTATTATTTTTCTTTTACCTTCCTCAATATTGGTTGCTGACATTAGTACAAATTTGAATTTGATCTCTACATTGATTTGCTGATATTAGTACATATTTGAGTCGTGTCCATTTATCAAGATGGCTCATCTACATAGATTTGAGTATATCGGCTACGAATGACTGATGAATTTTTCGATAATGTCTGAAATTTGTGACTAATTGTTCAATATGTTTCAGTGGTGTTTTTTTTTTATTTCTGATTATGTTTTCTATGGAAGATATAAGAAGAAAGGAAGATATTGGAAATGATTGTTATAAATTTTCTTTTGAAATGATCGATAAAATGACAAAGAAAAAGATTGTACTTATTAAAATAATGTGAGAAACGTGGTTTATATTTGTCATATAAACATGGTCAGACTTGTATGTTAAAATTTTCCTTCAGTTTTGATTATATATATATATATATATATATATATATATTCATTACTTGACCATATTGAATTTTACTTAAGTTTTACAAATTCCTTCAATGAAAATTCACTTGATAGTATATAAGTCTGGATATATTGATTTAAGCAGGTTTAAAAGATGAAGATAAGGATTTGGAAGAGGAAGATGATGAGCATGCAACTAAAGATTTTAACTACACAAAAATTGCAATTAAATATGCCGGTTAGGATTTTAACTGCACAAAGATAAAATATCTCTCCTACATCTAGTCTAATACCCTTTGGTATTAGGATTCAACTTCAATGACATAATAATAAATTTTTATTTTTCACAATTTTATTAGCAGCCAAACAGACCCTTATATACTTCTTGATAATCTGAAATGCAATTACATGTTTCTTTATTTTCTCTAGATGCTTTATATTAATTTTTATGTATAATGAAAATTTTGACCTTCTTTGTCATGGTTGTTTTTCTTTGTTCCCTTTAATTTGAGATTTTGCTTTTGCAATCTAATCAATTTCAGAGTTTTGGGATTGACATTATTGAAATTTCTTCTTTTTAAAAAAAAAAAATATATATATATATATACTCAAGTTTAGAATTATTATTGGAATGAATTTCGTGGTAGTCTTTTATATTGTATGTGTGGGTTTTATCTAATCTAGATGCAATAAAGAGCAAGGATATATATATATATTTAATTTATTTTCTTAGTGTTTCTGTTTTCTCAACTCATTACTTATACCTAATATGCTTGCACGTATTGGGAGCTTGGAAAATTAGTAAACCTAAAATATATCTCTCTAACTATATCTATTTTATCTATACTGAGAATGAGTAAAAACAATTGGAAACCATTTTTCGTGAGACTTGTAAACTTGGAAGTTGATGCTTTTACTCATGATACAAGGTTAATTTGTTCACTTCAAGATTCTCTCGGAGCAGGAACAACTTGAGGAAATTAGTAATTTTTTGCATGAGAAATCTTTCAAGCAGAGTGGTTAAATTGCACCCCCCTATTAGCCTTTTATTGCTAAAGTTTGTTTATTTTGTGTTGATCTTCTTTTGACGTTTTTCACAAATCCATATGAATCTGATTACTCTTACTTCATCCTATAAGTGCACTTAATTTGATTTAACAACGTGTTTGTGTTTGTAGGGGACTAAAGATAATCAAATAAGGTATTGACTATTATCTTATATACCAAGGTTAATTTTATCGTCATTTGGGTTGAAGAACATAGTGAAACTGAACAATTGGTTGTTCATTGAGTTTAGAAAGAGACATTTCTAGAGAAACAACTTTGGAGGATGAACCTTCTTTATGAATTCTAGACAAAATACCGAGTGAAAGTTTCTTGGTCCAGAGTCGTTGGCACTGTGAATTATTTTTTGAGCTATTTTATTTCGTTTCTTTGAAACAACCAGTAACAATCAGTAATGTAGCCTTCTCAATTACAGTTATTGTATTAATATTAGATGATGAATGTTAAATCTACTATTATTCAATCAACAACTTGAAGTGTAATTCTATTATTCTTCCCCAGTTCACAGTGACCTTTTAAGTTATCATAGTGCCGTGTTATGAGTTTTTTATTGTCAAGTTTTATGGACAAGACCAGAAAAGATGGCCATTTGAGTATTCATCCTTGTAGCAGTTATGACATATAGCTGTGAAAATGAAACTGCTTTTTAAGGTGTATCAATGACTTGTCTGCTTGCTACAGCACCAACACAACAAAATGGATATCGAAGGCTTGCTGTCATTCCAAACTGATGACTACCATATATATGTAGGAAGATTTGCATATTCCATCACCTACTTTTTGTAACAACATACAATACAAAAATTGGAGAGATTAAATTATTATTATCACAACTTTCTTTTAACATGTATCATGTATGAATTGCATATAACATCAACACATTTTCTTAACACGTTAAAAAAAATTAATTTCGACATCAAATTATTATCATCACAACTTTTTTAAACATGTACCATGTATGAATTGCATATAGCATCAACATATTTTCCTAACACAGTTGAAAAAAATTAACTTTCACAACTCAATTTCACAATTCCTAAATTAATAATAAGAACCACAAATACTTTCAACATATATGTTGGAAGATTTGCATATTCCATCACCTATTTTTTGTAACAGCATACAATACAAAAGTTGAAGAGATCAAATTATTATTATCACAATTTTTTAAAACATGTATCATGTATGAATTGCATATAACATCAACATATTTTTCTAACACGTTAAAAAAATTAATTTCCACAACTCTAAAATCTATTTAATTAGTCAATTATTTCAAAACACTAAAATCTCAAATAAATTTATATTTGGATACTGAACTGTACCGATACATAATCAATGTTTATATAATGTATTCCTACATTATATAAAATTTACTTATGATGTTAGTTATGAAATCGTTATAATGTTGGTAATAATACATGGTTCGTTTTTCTTTGACTTTGATTAAATTTACAAATCTAAGTTACATTGAATGAAATAAGTTATGATATTTATTACAAATGTGTTCCTACACTATATGAAATTTAGTTGTGATGTTAGTTATAAAATCGTTATGGTGTTATTTTTCTAAAACGCTATAAGAATATTATAAATGGCTTAGTAATTCACTAAAAAATATAACGAATTAACAAAAATTTCAAAGAAATCTCATTCATAAGATTGTATAAATCAAATAGTTGCGTCTAATCTGTTATGGAGTTCATTGCTATATGGATCTGTTTGCTTTTCAAGTTTCCAGTTATAGACCAAAATTTTTTCCCCTTTTTGTTGATTTGGGGTTTGTCTATTCTTCATTAATATCAGAAAATTTAAATGGGTTTTGGAATTATTGTTGATTAATATGTTTGGATTTTATTCAGGGTTGAGAGTTATGTGGATCTGGTTCTGAACATTTTATAGATTCAGGGATTCATAGTCTGGCGTCGATGAATCAGGTTCATGGCAAAAGATGAAATTTGATGCCTTGTGTAGTGTTTGATTGGGTGAATAATTGAATACCTAGTTACAGCACTGGAAAGAGAAAAGAGAGGGAGTAGGGGATGAGGTGACTCTGAGTGTTGGTTTCCTTTTATGGCCGGCTGCCGTTTGAAGAGGCGAGAACATACATAATTGATATTAAGGTTTTCTTCTAGGATAGGAGATTTGGAATTTTTAGAGAAGAAAGAAAAATATATGGAAATAAAATAATATTGTATATGATGTAGTGCATAGTGTATAATGTATAAAATATGCAGTATTTTTAAGTATGGTAAAATATAACGTAGCTCAGTAAAATTATTAGTGATATGCTGATTTGACAGTGACTAGGCATGACTCAGCAATGACATGGCAAGATTATAACATGTGGCTGCATTTCAGCCATTGGATGCTCACTGGACAGTTTCCAGTGAGAGGAGTAATGGAGCAGATTCGCGTCCGTACAGAAAAGAGCTTAACTTTATCATACGTGGATCTAGTACACTATTAAGATACTATTAAAAATACTTTATTAATTAATATACGCCTTTGACTAAGTTTGAATTAATTTTTCATTTATTTTTTCTTAGAGTATGATTCCATAACACGCGCATTATTCAAGTTAGACGTGCAGTTCGAAAGCGAGACCTCAACAACTTACCTTCTAAATCTCTACCAACATCACTATACCTCTAAATATTTTGAATTAATTGATCACATAAAATTTTGGGATTTTGGGACCAATGGCCATTAGTTCATATGGTTGGTTTATTTTTATTTTATTATATTTTAAGGAAAGGTTAGTTTGTTGGATTCTTTTTAATTGCGAATGTTTGTTTGTTTGTTTTTTTATTTATTTATTATTTTATTATTATTATTATTATTTTATGAATCTGAAAGTTTATTGACAATCTGAATAATTGTTTAAATAGTAATGTTCGGTCCAAATTCCAAGAATTAAAATGATTAATCTTTTGTTATCTTTTGAATCTGCTTAATTTAGAGGGAAAAAAATTTAAACATTTATGCCTTTTCTCATTTTTTGTCCTGTCTATTAATATAAGAAATTAAAAGCGAACTTTGGTGCAAAGATAAAATTACTTCATTCACAGGTTGAAACTGAAAATAGTTTCTCTAATATGATAAAAAGGTTGCATCTAACAATGGAGTTAGGTTTGAGCCAGACTCATTGGATTAGTCATTTTATTACCATTAGAAATTATTATTTGTCATTTAGTGGTCCAATCAAAAATAGTATTCTTTTATTATTATTTTTTTTGTTAATATACTATACTATTCTGAATCCATTATTCTTAATGGAGGAATGAATTGACCATCCAATATATAAATGATATTAAAGCTGTTAATTATTCCTAACATTGGAATTCTTTTAACAAAACATAAGTGCAGGTTTTGGTGCCTGTTTAGAATTAGGAAAAAGAAAACACACACACACAAGTACAGGTTTTGGTGCTAATTTAGAATTAAAAGAAAAAGAAGAAGAAGAAGAAACACACAAGTATATGATTTGGTGCTTAGTCGTGTTTATTCAAGTACTATAAAAAAACATAATTGTATGTTTTGGTGCTTATTGCATATAAACATGTAGTTCTCTACTTTTACAGAAGTGTAGGCCAACCTCAGCACAGTCATGTCTCCTCGTGTGCACCTGCTCTAACGCCTATTCATTTTATTATTTTAATATACTTATCAAAAAAATAAATGAAATTTTTTTCTAATTTTTTTCAGTTGTTTGTTTGTGTTTTTTTTTAACGATTACATTCTTAATGGCTATAATATTATGTTTAAATTATATATTTTGAAATATTTTTAAAAAGTAATATTTAAAAAAAGATGATATTACGTATATAAAGAAAAAGTACACTACATACTTTCCTACAAATAAAGGAAAAAATATATTAATATTTTCCCTCAAATAATGAAAACATTAGAGATTACATCTAATATATCTCCCTTTTGTTTGAAACGCAACCTAATTGCAATTTTTTATCCTCGATCAATGTTTTGATCGCTGATGTTGTAACATCATTTGGATTTATTATTATTTTCTTTTTTATCAATTTTCTTTTCCAATCAAATTGATAAAAAAGATACAGATATAGAAACCCAATACAGCGAACTCCTTCCCTCAAAAACCCAATTTCCAACCATCTCAAACCACCATTTACTACATCAAACCACCAAAATCCCAAACCACATGTTCACAAGCCAATCTCCAACCATCTCAAGCCGCCATTTACTCCATCAATCCACCAACCTTCCACAACCAAACAACCAATCAATGACACTCACAAACCAGCTCACACAAAGAAACCCATCTCCACCATATCACCAAATCCCAAATCGCACGTTCATAAGCCTGCTGATACATCTAAATGGTCCATATCCTGCTAATTTCAATGATGTTTTATATGACTCCCCTAGTCACCAAATTGAGCGCTTAACGGAGGAGAGTGAGTGGGCTCAAGAGAACCTTGGAAAGGCACTTGACCTGTTTCAGGTTTGGAAGAAGTCAATCTCGGAGTTGAGATCCGAGCTAGCAGAGATGAGGAGCCAAAGGCCACTACCTCCCCCGCCCCCCATCATTCCATTCCCGTCTCATACTAACCAGTGTATGCAGCCAAAGATTACCAGGTATTTCCCCCTCTCTTCTTTATCTCCACAGGGCAACAAGATGAACACAACTCAAAAAAAACTCTCCAATGATCCCATGTCCGGTAAACCACTCCAGCCCTGCTCCTCGAGTGGACAATTCCCCCCCATTTTCAAATGCAAATTTGAATTCTCCATCTAGTCAAATCCCACAAGCTATAACACCCCATTCTCATACATATTCTGACACTACTCTACCTGCTGAAGTAACTGCTACTACCCTTATTAGGAATACTGACTCTAACCACCCTTTAAATGTTATTTCAAATACCCACCCACCTATCAACCCTCCGGTTATTAACCAACAGCTAAAACCTTCTTGGGCATCCATTGTAAAAACACACAGAAATGTTATGAAGCTCCACCACTTTCATAACCCTTTATTGAAGCTCAACCATCCCTTGACCCACCAGCTGATGTCACAGAGGAGGGGATCCAACTTTTTCAGGGCTTCATCATTGGCTACTTTCCTTCCAAAAAGCTCCCATTCTCTGTGGTCCAAAGCAAAGCTCTCAAACTTTGGGGAAACAAGGGCCTCGTACAAGTTCTAGGAGATAGGAATGGAGTCTTTTATTTCAAATTTGGATCAGACCAGGATTCCATGAGGATTCTCAATGCAAGTCCATGGTATCTTGGGGGGAAGCACATCATTCTCCCCAAATGGCAACCTGATGATGACCTTGTCTACCATGAATCCACCAAAGCTCCCGTATGGGTAAAATTTTACAACATCCCATTCAATTACTGGACACCAAAGGGCCTTGGATTCATAGCCAGTGCTGTTGGTAAGCCTTTACATGCCGACGAAATTACAGAATCTATAATCAAACTGAGATTTGCAAGGATCAAAATAGAGGTTGACCTTAAGGCTACTCTTGTTGAGAATATCAAGCTCAGGATGGAGGCAACAAATTTAGAATCATTGATGTTGAA